TATCTCATAGTAGGGATAAAAGAATTTTGGAAACTGCTACATTAATTCTAAACCTCGGGGAAGGGAAAAAAAAAAAAAACTAATTATTTGGCTTGGATATACGTATCAAGGTGTAAAAGCTGATGTGGGCAACGTAAACGCCTCGGACGCCGACACTAACAACTTGACTGAATACGCAGATATTTAAAGCTCTCATGATCCCCAACCCCTTATTCTATCTGCAGATATTTGATAGGCTAGGTTGGATGAAGATGAATGGACAATTTGGATAACGTTATTGGATTGAGTCGTTCAGTGGTATAATCAATTATAGAGGATAGCCCCCTTTCAACGTGGCCTATTAGTACTCAGGGGATCTACAATGACTGCCAGAGCTTTCTCCACAGCGGCACCTTTTGCGTCTGCTCCCCATATGTCTCTCCAACAAAGTCACTCTTATCCTTATCCAGATCGCTCCTCCGTCCACTGTCCAAATCAATGTCCCAGCTCCTCTTGAATTTATCTTCTCCCCTCCAGTACAGTTTGCAAATAACGTAAATCACGCCAAAGAGCGGCAAAAGAATATACGCATCAACAAATTTACCAGCAGTAAACGGTGATAACGTCGTCCAGCCCTGAACAAGAGCAAGGAAGATATTTGCAAACAAGCCAAAATAGGGACTGTACGGGTAAAACATGCTTTTGAACGGTAAATCGCTTACTCGGCGCTGTTGCACAGCCCACGCACGGCGGAAGCGCAAGTGGATGAAGCTGATGCTTCCCCAAACGAGGAATGTGCTCACACCGGCGAGGTTGATGATGTAGCTGTATGCTTCTGATGCTCCGGTTGAGACGTTCATCATAGAGATGGCACCCACGGCATTGGTGAGAAGAATTGACCAGACTGGGACGCCGCGCTTGTTGACCCAGCCGAGAATCTTGGGGGCCATTCCAGACTGCGCCATGTACAGGACGGTACGAGAGCCGATGTAGATGGATGAGTTAACAGCTGACAGACATGTAATGAGGATGAAGGCATTGATGAGATGAACACCTAGAGAGAGAACACTTGGTCAGTTATATTCATAAAAGGTAGTAACTGAAGCAAAAAAAAAAAAAAAAAAGATAATAAACGTACCTCCGTTCCAGCCAGCGTTTTGTATAGCAATCGTCATGGGACTCTGCAGCGCCTTGGCACCTCCGTTGATAAGCTCATCAGAATCAGCTGGACAAGTGAGGCCGAAGAAGAAAGCCGATCCCATATAGACGAAGATGATGCGGAAGAAGACTTGACGTATGGCCCGCGGCACTGCAGTACCTGGGTTTCTCGTTTCGGTAGCAGCCACGGCCACTGACTCGACTCCGGCGTAGAAAGTAGAGCAAAATACAAACACAGTTGCAACTCCTCTGAAACCATGGCCATTGAAAGCCCCGGGATTATGCCAGTATCTGAATCCAATGGGGCCATCTTGGCCAATCAATCCGCCGGATGCGTACACGATGGAAAAGATAAAGTACGCCGTCAGGCCAAGAATCTTGATGAGTGCCAGGATATACTCTGCCTCGCCAAAAGCCGTAATGCCACCGATGATTTGGAAGGCCAGGAATATGCTCCATAGGATGAGGAACCAGCCCCAGAGAGGGACCTGAGGCGCCCAGAAGTGGAGGATACTGCAGATGACATTGTACTCGCTGGCCAGGACGGTGGCCCAGATGATGAAATAGTTCCACCCAACAGCCACGGAGAAGGACTTGTCCACCATGCGTTCAGCTAGAGAGACAAAGGCACCGCCACCGGGGTATAGAGTGGTGATTTCACCCAGAGACTGCATGATGGAGAAAGCAATAATACCTAGGATGGAATAAAATTAGACTCAAATGGCTACTTCTCTAAGGCTCAGAAACATACCGATAACACCAAATCCGATAATCAACGACGCCGGTCCACCGCTATTCAAGGCACCTCCAGCGCCAACCAGCAAACCAGGCCCGATGATGCCAGCGAGCGCCATCATGGACAGGTGTCGATTTTTCAATCCTCGCTTGACGCCCGAATCTGGATCGATCAGACCATCATCGCTCGAGTCAATGTTGTGCGCTCCATGATGCTGATTGTATTCGGGAACCTCTTCGGCTGAGACATCATCCAGTTGCGGCTCGTCGGCGAACTTGCCGCCGGATCTTTTTTGGCGAAACATGGCGGATGTTCTCCCAAATGCCTGTTTATCGCTCTTGTTTACTCTCTAGGGGGGGTATCTCAACACTGTAAGAGGAGGAAACAAATTAATGTATATAAAAAAATGAGACAAGAGGACGGTGAGAGAAACTATGCAAGTCGTCCGGGTCGCAAATAAGACAATAAGACAACAAGAGCTAGCCAAACCAACAAGCGCAGAGACTCAAAAAGAAAAATAAGCGAATTGCGATCCAGCCACGGCGATGATGCAAGAATAAAGAATTCTCAATATCTACAATCCCCTTTCCCCAAGTCTTCTGTGGTTTGTGCTACACTAACGAACCTTGGGCACAGCGCGAACCGCAATCTTTTGTGATGTAGTTTCTATGTGTCTCTGCCGCTCTTCTGACTCGCTCCTCTACATTTGTACCTGTTAGAATGTCTGCCATCCCGGCTGATTTGGGATTCTGGGGCCCTTGCTGGCGCATCTAGCCTGCGATCACGTCACTTCACGTTTTTTGCCTCCACATATTTGTGGACGGGGGAAGCATTCGCGGTCTGGCGGAGCAAGTGAGATATGCAGGGCTGGTTGAAGATCAGTGCTACCATGTGATTGATTTTTTGATACACGTAAATTTATAAATCTATGGATGCATATTGATCTCCATTTTTTTTTCTTATTTTTTTTTTCTTTCCGTCTTTCTTAATGAGCTTCCTCTAGAATTGCGTTGCATTGTGTTTTCGCGGCATTCGTCGATCATCCTGGTCTCTGATACTGAGCTAAGAATGGCGCCGATCACGACATCGCCATGGGGCCATGGGTCTAGAGTGGAGAGCATCCGAGGACCAAGGCGGCAGCGGTCGCGACGCACAAGGCTGTGGAATGACATAAATTGTCAGAAAATAGACGACTGACACTAATGTAGTGCTATATAAACTGGTGACCTCGTAGTGGACAATATTTACGAGGCTGAAATAACTTCCCCATTGAACGACATTCAATATATGAGCTTACAGATAGGTACTAGTACTCCATAGAAAATTTGACATTGCGTCGCTGTCTCGAGATATTGATCCTTTTTACCTTTTATCCCATCCAGTCTTTAGTTCCATGCTTCTCTCCAGCAATTGCTTCTTGTTTATCATTAATCATATGCGTGACCCGATTGATCCATCAACTGTTTCCTTTTCAAACAGGGTATCCTTCAATTTTACAAATAAAAGTACATAATTAGTACACAGATGGTCTCTCATCACCGGCCTCTTAGACTGGCGTCTTGATTGCACCATCGACGCTGGAGTCTTCGGCCTCAAATTTCCTTGGGATAAGACCCTCGGCCATATTAATAGCTCCCTGCATATCGTTCTTATTGAACAGAAACAAGCCCTGGATGGCGGCAGCGCTTGTATGGCGGTTCGAGGCCCGGCCATCTTTGTAGTTTCCAAATAAGCCTAGCTCCTCTAGACGTTCCAAGAACCGTGCCCGGCCAGAGTGATCCTGATCAACATCACCATAGAATCGATCCCACATCTGCGCAGCCTGGAACTGGGTTGCCTCGCCAATCTTGAGCATCATGTCCACTCGACCTGGTCTGATCAACGCAGGGTCTAGGCGCTCGATATGATTGGTAGTGAGGAATGCGATGCGTTCTTCTCCGGCAGCCACTCCGTCCAATGCATTAAGGAGACCAGAAAAGGTAACATTGGCGCCGCTGTATCCGTCGGTATCTCGTTGGCGGCGGTTGACAAAAGCGGCATCGGCATCTTCCAGTAACAGTAAACTCCTTTTCGGCAGCTTAGTTAGAAGGTATGCCAGTTTATCGTCAGTCATACCCATTTCGCTGAGGTTAATCATGGCCACGCCAAAGTCAAGTTCTCCCGCCAGCGCTTGGATGAAGGAACTTTTGCCGCTCCCCGGAGGTCCAAACAGGAGATAGCCTCTCCTGTATGGAATGCCTCGATCAACATACCACTGCTGCCTTGATAAGAAATCCTTGACATCGCCCACGATACTCTCTTTGATGCCCTCGTCCAGTATGACTGAGCCAAGCGGCCTTTTCTTCCGAGGATCTCCAAGGGGGGTCCATTCAAGCCCGCGTGCCGAGTATACCACAGTCTTCCCCTCGTTCGCCTTTGCGGCTAGTTGATGCGCCTCTTTGAAGAGATCTTCAAAAACATAACGGTGCGCCCAGAGAGTGGTTAGCTGGACAATCTCATGCGGCTCTCCTGTATTCATATTGGCAGTGTTGTGCTTCTCTCTGTTGACGGCAATAAAAGCCTTGCCAAACTTGACAATATGCCGTCCATATCCAGGCTGAAGAAAGAAATGGGCGTTGATTGGCCCGGTTGCTCCCGGGCCTCTTGCTCCTGTCGCCGTGGCCACTGATAGGTTGTGGATTCGGGTGAGTCGAGAGGCGATGAAGCCCGGCGTCTCACGAGGCTGGGAGAGCCATGCTAGAATCCAGGGATATGCCGGATCCTGCTTGCTTATCTCCACGTTCACGAGGAGGCGACGACGGGCAGCGCCAAGCAGGGCGATTGATCCCTTGCGGGCAAATGCTGCGGCAGCGCCTAAGGAGGCGAGGCCAATGCCTCCAGCGAACAGCGGATTATCGAACAGCGCATTGAGGTTCAGCACCGACGCAGATGCCGGTGATTCAGACATGCCGGAACCTGAAGAAGCGGGAGCTGTTGCTCAATCATAATGGGCAAAAAAGAAGTTATGATCGATCTTAGGTGATGATGACTAAGCAGACATCATCGCGCGTAAACGCCGGAAGAAATAAAAATCACCGTTGCAAATAAAGCAAAAAGAAAAAATTTACCTTGAACTAAATCCAAGTATTGCTCACGGCAGGGCTTGAACCTGCGGCCTCCGCATTACCAAGATTTCAGCCGAAGCCGAAGTATTAGTACGAAGCTCTAACCAACTGAGCTACGCGAGCCGGCAATTTGTGCTGGGAGAACTTGTAGAAATACTTAAGAAGTGCTATGCTAGGGCTAACTGACACTCGTCGATATGAGTCTATACTGAAGTGCCATTACTTTCACCCATTTTAATGCCCTTTGCAAGTGAATTCAGCTATTTTTACAGTTTAATCCCTTTGTTATATTCAGCTATAGTATTCAAATTATATACAGCAATCTCATCCGCAGACAGAACCAAATACAACTACCACAGCTCCTCGCTTATATTCTTTTGCCATCGAAGTGCTTAAATTATATACATGGGCCCTTTATTTATTTATATTCATTTTTTATAGTATTCACTAGCCCTCTACTTTCTCCATGTGTACAAGTATGGTAGGCACTGTCACTGATGTAAAACCTTGCCTAATGTGCCCTTGCGCCCAGGTAGGCGTGGGTTTTTTTTTGCTGAGTGGAAAGCTGTAAACTGCACTGATATTTATAATGCCATGGGCTCAAAAGCGCCCTCCCTCGTCTCCAATCGTCCAAATTGGACCAGTGAGTTTATGCCGGCCAAAAATCTCGATTGCGTCTTGCAAAGTCCACTTCTTCCAGTCTGCGTCGGCGTGGCGGCCGTACCATTCAGCCGCGAAATCCCAAACTTGCTTGACTGGACGCACATCTCCCTTTGCGATCCCTCTCGTAGTACACCACTCGTCCACCTCGGCCTCATTGCGGAATAGCAGCTGGACCGAGCAGGTGTAGATGACGTTATCCCAGACATCAGTCATGGGGACTGGAAAGTGTATCACAAAGTCCGTGTCCACCAGCTGTCCATCGCGAGCCGTGATGGTCACTTCGTCGCCGATGGCGCCAGTTCTTGTCGTGAAGGTCGAGGTTCCACCTGCGAGGTGCATCACGCCAAATGAACACCAGGCACAGTTCCCCCACCATTTGCGATCGCCCGAGGACACGACGCAGGTTGTGGGCGCTGCCGAAAACGGGTGGGCAACCCACACCTCGTCGGATTTGGGGTGCAGCACAACACCATGGTAGTCTGCCAGAGCTCGCAGGGCTTGCCGCGCCGTAGCTACATCACTTTCGAAGCGGGTGGCGATCTCGCTGACAGTGGGAGGACGCTGGCTGTTGAGGAACGAGGAGATGATGAATTCGTGCAAGCTGGAATGATCCATGATTGCAAACCCTGCGTACTGTAAGTGGCATTCGGATGTTGCGAAGTCTTGGCTTGGATGGAATGCGGCAAGATGGGCTCTATTATAGTACTCTGTATATTTTGTAGATTCTGATGTATTATGTATATGTATACTGTAAGGTCGAAGCCGATTCCTTGAGCCGTTGAAAGGCGCGCCCAAAGGCTGGAGTAGAGTGGAGAGTTTCACGCCGTTGTATGGACTGTTTACTCATCAAAGGTGCAGTGTAGGCGCCGCGCCCTGCTGGCTACCTCAAGGCAGGTGGCTTATGGCATGATAGAAGATGGAGAGACTAATACATCTCCAAGGGCCGAAGGGATCCATTCATTAATCAAGGCCTATATTAAGTTACCTACCTTGAATCTCTTTAATACTTGGCAAGCCATAAGATCTGCCGTAACAAATTAGCTAAAGGAGCAAGTATTTGCAGGCTTTGCAGCAGGTATTAATTCCATTAGACGTTTCTGGGCGTATTATTTAAGGCAGTAAAGGGCTGGGTGTCTTATATAGCCTTGTATACAGGACTAAAACAGCGGCAGTTGCTTTTAAGCCCACTCAAAGCTTCCTGTATTAAGACCTTTACATCCTTATATAAACTGCCATATATTCATACCTTAAAGAGGCTTAAAGAAAAAAGGCGAGCCCTTTTACTAAAGCTTTATTATCCTTAATTACACTTAAAGTAAAATATATCTTAACTATAGCTAATGCTAGAGCCTAAAGCAGCATAAAATTAATTTAACTAAAGGCGCAATTAGTTAATAATAAGCATAAGGCAAGAGCTTATCGCATTTAAAATAATTTAAGTAATAATACAGCTAAAGGCACAGCTTAAATACAGTAGATGTTATATATTAAATTATATAATAACTTTAAAGGCATGACTTATGCAATATAAAGAGTTCTTTCAGTTATCAGGATCAGCTACAGAAGTAGTAGCACAGATAACTCAGATAATAGCAGCTGCAACAGCAGCACCAGCATCCACAGAGATAAACTTCATTCCAGGCAGCTGTAGATCAGATAGAGGCAGGTCTAATGACAACAGTTCAAACACTAGCGGGCCAGATAGTGGCAGTCCAGGAATTAAACGGATTAGTAGACTACATAACAGTAAGCCAGACACCTACAGCTGAGGAGGTCGCACACTGCATAGTAGTCGTCCAAACAGTAGCAGACCAGGCAGGGGCGGCAGGGACAATAGCAGCGCCAGAACTCAGATACAATAACCTGTAGGCCATTCAACAGATATAATAAAGCAAGACAGATTAGTATAATGCGCAGCCTTGAGGCAGTATTAAAACTAACTAACAGTATCAGAAGGCAATAGGTTTGCCTTAACGATACGACAAAGTAAGCTACAAGTGGTGTCTTGATTGGAAACAAATGGGTAAGCAATGTATAATGTAGAAAGGTTTCAGAGACTGGATTAAGGAGGAGATGATGGCGTATCTTGATTGGAGCTCCGGTAGCGGCCAAGATAGAAGGTAACCCCCTCTCTAAGAGAAAAGGTATGCGTGAGATCTGGAAGGCAGCCGCAGCGGATTGTAATGCACAAGAGGCATTATATTCATGTAATTAGTTTACTAGGAACCCATCAATAAAAAACAATGGGCTGCAATCCTAGGTAGTTGCAGCTGCGCGTGTGGAAGGGCAACCTACGGTGGACTGAGGACCGCGCATCTGCAAGGATGCTGGCTTCAATAATGGTCAAACGCGACCCGAATATAAAGGAGTGTTATGCTTTACAGCCTTCTCTGAAAGACTGCGAACCTAAGGACAATCCTGCCATTATCTGGCATATAAATAAGGATTTGTCCTCTAACTCTAAGACTGTCCAAATGTAAGAACATTCTCCTTAAACCATGGCAAATACGTGTCTCTTACCCAGGCTGTTAGCTCCCGAATACCAGCAATAGCGGTATAGGCTTCTATCATATTCATAGTAGTGCCAAATGCCAACTCTGCCCACAACTTTGTTTTTCCATCATCATAGGTAGAAATTATCAAATAGTATCAATTTCCTTTGGTAATAATGCCTGGAATAAAGCCAAGATTTAATAATGCAGTAAGTGTTCTGCTTTACATTCTTCTCCCTCACTGTTGGTATGGTTAATAGACAAGGTGGGTGAAGTATTGCAAAAGGTAGTTATTGCTGCCTTCAAGTCTTGATCCTCGTCAAGTAAAGCATAAACACAGAGATCGAGCATCTTGGCAGCAAAGGAAACCGGTAAAACTTCATGTTGCGGCTTGGCTGTAGTACTGCCATAAGGGGGGCAGTTAGTATAACTCTCTTCATATAAAGAATATAAGCTCCTTTACTTTATTAATTATGCTTAATCCTATATCAAACAAATTTACCTAGTAGTAATTATACTTTCGGTTATAATAAGTTAGGTAATGTTAAAGTTACCCTACAGTTGCCCTGGCAAAAACAAAATACTATTATCTTGCCCTAAGTACAGTTTATATAGGGGTTCGGCTGATAATTACTCGTAGGCTTTAGGAAATATAAAACTGTTCTTTAGCTATATACAAGTAGCCGGAGTGGCTCCACCCTGGGCACCCATCCATGCCTTTTGCAATCCAACCTCATCTTCCCACAATTCTGGTGCCTCGTCAAAGGTCAGTCCCGGGGCGGCAGCAGACTCGCCCCAGACAACGCCACACTCGACTACATATTCCTCCCAGCATGCCAGTAGCTCTTGAAACTTGGCTGGTTCGGCCGTTGCCAAGTCCTTGGTCTCACCAGGATCCTGGACAACATTGAACAGCTCCCAACCGTCATCACCTACGCCTGCGCCGCCGTGCTTTTCGGCAAAGTGGACAATCTTCCAGTCGCCTTTACGTAGGGCGCCTCGTGCGAAAAGCTCCCACCCGATGGGTTCGGTCGACGAGTGAATTGTCCACATCTCATCGTCCTCTATCTTCTGACCATGGCCAAAGTACGGCATCCACGACTTGCCGCGGATGGCATGCACGCTTCTGCCTCGAAACGCTGTCATTCTAACCCTCCCTGCGGCCGACTGCTGCTCTGTGACTGGTGGCAGCGATATGTCGGCTGCCTCCAAGAAAGTTGGCATAAAGTCCATGACAGTCGTCAAAGACCGATTCAAGGAACCAGGAAGGAAAGACGGGTGGAAAGAACCGACGGGAGGTTTGACCACACATGGAACAAGAATGCCACCTTGCGAAGGGAAGCACTTGAACAACCTTGACGGAGCGGTCATTGCCTGAGCCCATAGGGGACCAAGCCTGAGAGAATGTTAGAGCTGCTACTTTTGTGCCTGTACGATCTTGCGCATCTTGGTGCTTTTCTGGGGAAGCTAAACGTACCAGGTGTAAGAGTTCCACGCGCCTATGTTGTCGTAGGAATTGTCATAATACTGATGGATTGCTCGCTTGATGTTGTCTCCCATTACAGCTGTGTCCAAAGTCAGATGCCAACAAATACCCGACTGTTATGGGACGGAAAAGGTACTCACGGACAGCTTCTAACCTGTGTGCAGCAAAGTAACCCTTGGTTAGTCTTGAATTCTCAGCTTGCTTTGCGGGGAGAGATTTGACACCTACGCGGCACCCTCAGCGCCATTGTCGCTCATGAAGATGATGAAAGTATTGTCGTATTCTCCCGTATTTTTCAAATAGTCCATGACCCTACCAACGTTTTCATCTATGGTGTCTATCATACCTGCATATGCCTCCATGGCACGGCTCGACAGCTTCTTCTCCTCCGATGTAAGGTCATCCCATTCTTCGGCACCCATCGTGGTCGTTTCTACGTTGTGCGGGATAACAGACGGATCGATAATGCCAAGCTCCTGTAG